CCCCCCGCCCCCACCCCCTTTTTTTTTTAAGAGATATTTTGGCTCAGATTTGACCTCTGTTGGGAAATGATTCTTGTAACTGTACAATTTTTTTGCCTCCTAATAATAATAAATTAACAATTTTGCGTTGGGGGGTGTGGTTGCAGTCACGTTGGTTCCTCGCCGTCGCCGCCACCCATCCCTCCCGGGGGCTGTGCCTGCGTCCCTGTCCCCCAGGCAGCACTGGACGCCTGCACTATCACGCTCACCCCAGAGGTGCTGGAGCCAGCTCTGATGGCTCTGGATGCCTCGTTTTCTTGGCCTGGGTGCAAAGACGAGCTTGGAGACCTCCGGCTGTGGCCATCGCTGCTGCCCGACCTTCCTCTGCCCCCACATCGTGTCCCAGGGCTGCCGCAGGGCCCAGCTTCGGTGCTGGGCTTGGAGCGGGATTGCTGCAGGGCTCCTCTCCCCTCTCCCTGCCCCCTTTACCCGCACCAGCCCCTTCCTGGGGGCTGTGGCCATTGCTGGCCAGGGCACCCCTGCCCTGTGTCCTCTGGGGGCTGGCCCGCTGTGCTGCCCCCCCAGGACTGTGCTCTGTGCACTGTGGCAGCTCATGATGGCGGTACTGCCTGCAGTGGTGCTGCCTGCGCCCTCTCTGCCCCCCGCCCGGCTCTCCTCCCCACGCATCCAGCCCCGCGGGGCCGCAGCAACAAGCCCGGCTTTGTTCGCCCTTGGCCTGGGCTCAGGACGGAGCGGCACGGACCAAGCGCATGAGAGCTGCCCCCGCTCCCTTCCTCCCGCTGCCACCGAACCCCCACCGGGACCCCGCTCGCCCGCGGGGATGCGAGGGGGTGAGGGCATGGCTGGCAGCCTGGGCTCTGCTCTTCCCCTTCCATCCCTGCACCAGGATGAGACCCCCTCTTCTTCCCAGCTGCTCCCAAACTGTGGGGCCCAGCACTGGCGGGGGGAGGAAAGGAAAAACCCAGTTTTGTGCTCTCGGAAGAAAACTGGGGCTTTTGTTTCCCTGGAAACAGTGCTGCGAAAGCAAAGCCCGGTGGGTGTTGATGCCGCACAAAGCCCGCAGTGAGCCCCTCGCATTCACCCGGCCGTAGCAACCGTCTCCCTCGCCCCGGCATTTCGCGGGCTGGGGCAGGCGCCAGCGGCAGGACAAGGAGCTTTAACAGCTCCGGCGGACGGGGCGGGCGCCCCCAGCCTGTCCTCGGCCCTATCCCACCGCCCGGGCTGCTCACCAAAGCCCCCCTAGGTGCAGGAGCCTTGGGCAGGGGGTGGGTGTGGGGCTTGGAAATCCTGATGCCCTCAAACCATCATTCTGGGACAATTTTGCCCCTGTGATGGGCAGGGGGAGGAAGGCCAGGAGCCCTGCACAGGGCTGTTTGGATGGGATGCGCTCACCCCCCTCGGCTCCCCAAGGGCCCTGCATGGCCCCCACCGCAGCGCTGCATGGCAGCACCATGCAGCAGCAGCACCTTGGTCCTGCATGGTGCAGGTGAGGAACCGGCTGCCTGGCAGGCCGTGAAGCACCTCAGCACAGTGCTGGGCTGGCTGGACTTTACTGGAACCAGAGTCCTGCAAACCACCCCAAGCCCGGAGCTTTGGAGGGGGCCCTCGCAGGGGCTGGCCTGGCACCAGCTCGCTCAGCATCACCCCAGAGCAGGGGGGGCAGAGGGGCCTTTCCCCATCGCCCTTAGGTGCTGCCGGACCTGGCACAGCTGCTTTCCTGCCCTCGTCCCCCCCCGCGGCTGCCCATGCCCACCCCAGAGCCCCCAGGTTTTAGGGAAGAGCCATCCAAGCCCCAAGCGCTGGCTCCCTGGGGTTCTGCTTGGCGGTGCTGGACGGCTGCGACATGCTCTAGGTTACTGGTTTATTGAGCTCTTACAGGGCACTGCTCGGATCCGATGGGATACAGTTGCTGGGGCCTTCTCCTACTGTGGAGGGGGCTGGCAGGAGGGAATGGGACAGGACGAGGGCAGTTTGTGTTTGCTATGTCCTCTGCAAGCCACCATGGAAACCCTCCATAGTTTCAGCTGGGACCTTTCTGGCACAACTCCATCTCCAGAGCAGCAACCAACAGCTCCCCTCCAGAGCCTGGCCAGGCAGCCAGGAGGGGAGGGTGCTGATGTCCTTGCTGGCCTTTGGGCAGAGGCAAGAAGGCCGCCAATGTAGCCACAGAGACTGGGGTTTCAAGCCCCACTTGCCCAACGTGGGGTTTGAAGCCCATGGCGCAACCCCCGAGTTGTCTCTTCTGCTTGCTCCACGTCCAGACACGGGCACTAACGGCAAAACAACATTTGGTCTTGGGAGGAGGTGGTGGATTGATCTCTACAGCTCCCCAGTGGCACTTAGCAAGGCGTGCCGAGGGCCAGGAGGGGCGGAGGGGACTCCCGGGGCTTGTCGAAGAAGATGGAGGAGGACATCTCCGTTTTGAGCTTGCTATCGGCGCTGCCCTCGCTGGAGGCAGTGTCGGGGCTGCAGCCCTCACAGCAGCAGCAGCAGCAGTCCATGAACGCCTGGCCCAGGGGTCTGCAGAGACACAGGAGCAGGACGGGCGTCACCGAGCACTTGAAGAACAGGAAGAACTGGTTGATGAGGTTGAGCAGGTCCAAGGTCTGCTTGGACATGTCGGGGGACATGTAGGCCACCACTATGTTGCAGACGTTCTCAGGGGTGGTGCAGAGCCCATAGATGATGGTCAGCCCGATGATGGTGCAGTTCAAGTGACTCTCGCACTGGCTGTGCTTGGTTCCTCGGCACTCGGTCTTCTTAGTGCCGCTGATCCTCCGGGTCACCAACTGGCAGCTTACAGTGAAGAGGATGGGCAAGCAGAAGTAGCAACCGAAGTACCACCACATCCGAGCGTTTTGGTAGGTGAGCACCAGCGAGTAGACGGACTCAGGCAGGTTGGATGAGGGCTTCATGGTGCAATACTCTGTCACCACACCAGACACGGGTGATGTGTCCTGCACCAACTGCCAGAGCAGGATCTCTGGCACCGACAGCGTCATGGAGCCCACCCAGATGACGGCAAGCTTGGCGATGATGGACTGGCACTGCTCGATGGGCCGGGCGCTGGCCTGGGGGCTGGTGGCCGCGTGGAACCTGTCGATGCCCAGAGCGCAGAGGCTGAAGGTGGTGACTCCCAGTGATGACACCTGGAGAGAGAGGAGGCAGAACAAGGGGGCCTTGCTGGAGGGACATCACGGGGCTTTACCAGGCTGGTGCCAAACCCCTGGCTACCCAAGACCACAGCCCAAGGCCCTTCCTCCAAGGTTATAGAGGGATCGCACTCTGTGGCTGCATCCCAAGGTTGGAGACGCTTTCCTGTGACTTCTGAAAGGGCAGTGGATAAAAATGTCCCTTGACCCATTTGTCCCAGCTTCCTTTTCTGCAGAAGGGAGAGGCTTTTCTGGATGTTTTGTCTGTCCATCCAGCCATGGTGGGAATAGCAGGTTTGTCCCTCAGGCTCTTCCTCTACCCTGGATGGGTCTTGGAGAGGAAAAGCAGGGACCATCACATCCCCCAGCACCTTCCCAGGGTCCCCAAGACCCCCCAGCTGTCCCAGGCTGGCTTGTCCCTGCCCTGCTCTGCAGAGCTGACGCCTGCTTTCGGGACAGGCCAAACGAGTTGAAGGCACCGTTGTCACAAAACAGCTTGGGGCAATTTCCGCTGCATTGAAGATGGCAGGAAAAACATCCCCTTTGCCAAAGGGAAGAGGCCAAAGGAGGCAGAGGAATCACGGTGGCTCTGAGAGGGCTGGCAAGGCACCGAGGGTCACAATCAGTATTCACCGTCCCAGCCCCAGAGCTACGGCTTTGCTCAGAGCCAAGTCCCACAGCCCCCGGCCAGGAAAACAGCAGAGTCACATGCTGGTGCCCCCAGCCCCGTGGCCCTTCCTGGCCTCACGAAGCCATCAAATGTCACCCTGTACTGAAGGACCTTCCCAGCACTCAGGAAGCCTCCCAGGGCTCTGCATGATGCCTGGGCAGCAGCTCTAAACAGATCTGGCACCACCGCCCCCCGCTCCAGCCTTTTCCAGTGGTCCTGGGTTGGCCCCTTCAGCGTTGCAGAGCACAGGAGCTCACGACCAGCACTGATGCCAGGCACCCAGCACCACTGTTCAGTTATGCCCAGCAGCATTGCCCTAGACACAGCATCAGGGCAGTAGCTCAGCATCACCATCCTGCACCCAACCCCACTGCCCAACAATGCTGCTCATGTCCCAGCTCCTCTGCCCAAGGCCCAGAGCCACCCTGAGCACCCAGCACCATTGCCCTGCCCCACAACCAGCACCCAGAGCACTTGCCCAGCTCCCTGGCTGGCACCTGCAGCCCTCCCAGCGCTGCTGTGCTGCTGCCTCTCCTCTCCCCCGACACCCTGTCTCTCCTTGGTCCCGGCGTGTAATTCAGACATGGCAGAGCATCCTTCCCCAGTGCCCTGGCAGGGGTGCAGCTGGTGCCACCGGTCACCCCAGGCACGATCCCTGCACACTGCCTGTCACCAGGAGCCCATGTAGGCAGCTCTGCTCCAAAAGCCTGGCTTTGTGCCCCCCACAGAGCACTTGAGTAGCCACAAGGCTGAGGATAGAAGACTTGCTCCTGACAGAGTTCATTCAGCAGCTTGAAACACTTGCACAGTCCCATATAGAAAGGCTGGACATTAACTGCTGGGCTGCAGCCTGATTCCCCTCTTGTGCCTGCCTCTTTGCTGGGGATTCAGCTCTGGCCTGGCCGTGCCCTCCCACCCAGGCTGGAGGGTCCCTGGTGCTGGGTCCCAGGTGACCAGAGAAGCCCCGACGCCCCTTTCTGCCCTTGCTCTGGGGCCCAGAGGCAGGAGGGCAGGGCAGGATTGGAGGCTGGGGTGGCAGAGTGGGAGTCTGGGGTGGACTGCGCCAGGACCATGCCTCCCAGGACTGTGCCATGCCCGTCCTTCAGCAGCCCCACATCCCATTGTCCTTCCTGCCTCCCTCGAGGACGGAGCTGTCCCAGGAGCACCCTGGTGCTGCTGAATCACGGCACCTGGAGGTGCCACCCCTGGGGACCCCCCACAGGGACATGGCCAGGGAGCCCATGGGCAGCTCAGAGACAAGCCATGGCAGAGCCTCCTCAGGAAAGGGTCTGGTTTGGGGACATCACCCTTTCCTTCCCGTCCTCAGCCGGGGCTCTGAGCCTGCCTGGGCAAACACGGGTCCACATTCCT